TTATAGAAGAAATAGCAAGTTAGTTACGGTCATCCACTAACACGTCTAAGTCTTCCTCTAATAATTTATAAGTAACGTCAAGGTTTGCTTCTTTATTGGGACATAGAGACAACGAATCTTCGTATTTGTGGGGTGAGGACTTCCCCTCCACATCACCATGAAGTTGCCATTCTCCTCAAGCCATAATATTATTATTATTATTATTGTTGATGATGATGATGATGATGATGATGAATTCCTTAGACCATAATTACAATGAAATATTGGAAGATGATCGAGTATGGAGTGTTTTTCTTTTTCTTTTTTTTTTTCCATTTTTGTATAAACATTGGGACTAGTGCTTTAAATGAAGAGAAGAAAGACAGAGAATAAAAAGTAAACACATGTATATCAAGATACTGAGAAAAAAAGAGAGTTATTTTTTATATATGCATTTTTTATTAGATATACCACAAAAAAATTAATAACTAAATTTAGTGGAAATTAAGAATGGAAAGTCACTCAATGATAAATTAATTTTGAAATAATACGCTTTAACTATTAAAAAAATTTTAATAAAAAAAAAGTAAGGGCCTTTCTTTTATACTTTACACCGTTCAAAGAAATGCTAGTACATCAAAGTCAATAATTTCAATTGGCATTTGATATATATTTTTTTCATTATAAATAATCCATTTATTAGTAATGAAGGTATAAATTCGTTCTTCCCTTGATAATCTCATCTCAATGTAAACCCATTTGTTATGATCTCTTTTTAATTCATTTTTAATGAAATAAAGAATTAAAGAGAAAAAAAAGGGATACATATAATTTTTGTGGAAAGTAGAAACAGATGAATTGAATTACTAATGTGCGGGACCCATTAATTTATGACAAAACACGGAATCATCAGGGAATAGTTTGCTTTACTTGTGTATATAAAGGTCTAAGGTGTATTGCTGGTAATAGAACGAAGACAGTAGCAGTACTTAATTGGTTGTTAATCTGAGTGTATTTTGATGGAGTCAAAATGGTTAATGTATGTGCTACTTACACCCTTCTTGTTAGAAGGGTTGTGGTGCCAAGGGTGTTGGGACCAAGAGAGAACTGCTCTCCTCCAACTCAAGTCTTTTTTTAATGATCCTTGGAGTCTAAACAACTGGCGGGTGAGAGGAGAGGAAAATTTAGATTGTTGTCAATGGGGGGGTGTTGAGTGCAACTCTACTACCAAACGAGTCATCTCACTTGATCTTACTGAGATACAAGCTGAAGCTATTGGTCCTACTATTACGTATCTGAATGCCTCTTTGTTTCTTCCGTTTGAGGAATTGAAGAGTCTCAATTTGAGCAGAAATGGAATAGCTGGTTGCATTGAAAATGAAGGTTATTATCTACCTTTCAACTTCTATATATTTGTGATTATCATAAGATTATCAACCATTCAACTTAATTTCTAATTATCTACTTCTTGTGCTTCCCCTTTTTAATTAATAATATTATTGATCCTTTGACGATTAAAAAAAAAAATTTGCAATTAACACAATCATCTCAACATGTATATAAGTACAATCATCTCATTCTTGTTCTCCTATATGTTATTTATTTGCTATTTCTTAATTGAACCAAAATTACAAGTTACGTGATCTGTTTGCAGGTTTTCTTAAGCTTTCAAAGAAGTTGAGGAATTTGGAAATCCTGAATTTGGAATATAATTTCTTCAATAACAATATTTTGCCATCTTTGAGTGAGCTTTTATTGCTCAAGTCTCTATATTTAGCTGGCAACAAGTTCCAAGCATCTAATCATACTGATGGTATAATCGTCCATCTTTGACTTATAGAACCTATTTTTTTATTGTTTCATCTTAATGTATATGTGCTATAAAATATTGAGTTCATAATTGTATGTATTGTAGGTTTCAAAAGGCTTTCTAAGTTGAGAAATCTAGAAACCCTTGATCTAATTAAGTTACAATAAGTTGAACAATAATATCTTATTCTCTTTGAGTTTTTATCGCTTAAGTCTCTATATCTAGCTGGTACTGAGTTCCAAGCATCTAACCATGCTGATGGTATAATTGTCCATCTTTGACTTATAGAACCTTCTTTTTTTTTTTATTGTTTCATCTTAATATATATGTGCTCCAAAATTGAGTTAATAATTGTACATATTACAGGTTTCAAAAGACTTTCTAAGTTGAGAAATTTGGAAACTCTTGATCTAAATTACAATAAGTTGAACAATAGTATCTTATTATTTTTAGGTGAGCTTTTATCACTTAAGTCTCTATATCTAGTTGGCAACATATTCCAAGCATCTA